TCATCTACGAATTCTAACCATGGCAATCCAGTAGTGATGGGAAAGTGCATGACATGGGCACCTCAGAAAATAATAACAATTAATAGAGGTGAACCCACTCCCCTTTATACAAAAATGGACCATCTTCGTCCTTGGAACACATCTTGTTGGACGTAATGTGCCCACTTATTCTCGGGTGACATTACATGATAAATATGCATGTGTTAAATGAAGCAGGTGTATAATCAAGCGCATGGTTAGCCTTACGCACCCTTTAGCTGATTTATTGGCTTCCAGGGGTAATTGGCCACATAGAAAAAATCTAAGTCGCAACAGGTGGGAAACTGGATATGTGCTTTGCCCACTGGTGACAAACAGCTGGCTGATACTGCTCCTGTGTAGGAGAGAAAAGTGGTTTAGGCATTGGCAGAGTGCCATCTGTTACTGATTTTCCCCTATTGACAATATTAAGCCTAGCTGTTGTGCTAATACACAACACTGTCAATAGGCGCGTTCACACCAAGTACTTTTCCCACAAAGGTTCCTGAGAACTACGATTTAGTTGCGTTCACACATAAAAAAAACCCAGGAACCAAATTAGTTCATGAGAACCTTTTTTACCCCCTTTTCAGTTCCTGCTAGAGAGCAGGGACTTTCGTGGGAGAAAAAGGTTCCTATGTCTGATTGGCGGGCGGATTGCAAACCACGCCCCGTAAAACTCCCAAAGACTTTTGTGAAGCCGCCATTTTATTATCCTCGCATTGCATTATTAGCATTAGCATTAGCCCAGCACAGAAACGCAGAGAGACTAACTTATGACAACACAAAATAAAACATGAGAGCGGTGGAGATGAGGAGGTGTCGGCGTTCTGGCGATTTACTCGGAAGGCTTCAGTAGAAGCTGCTGGGAGTCCCAGCAGCTTCTACTGAAGCCAGTCCCTAACTCCGGGGACTTCCGGCCGGGGATTTTGGGCGGCAGTATACGCCGTGAAGTTGTTTGCGGCCTGTCAGTAAACCCAAAGCAGAAGAAGAAGAAGTGACGTCAGCGGCTTCATTTGCCTAATCCACCCCCAGGGATTTATTTCCGGTNATTGTATATGACTTATATTATTACTGTGCACCACATTGTCTATGTAAGTACAATCATGTGGTACAGCAGCTAACCAATGAACACAGTTAGTAGTCGCAGCTACTTACATAGACAATGTGGTGCACAGTAATAATATAAGTCATATACAATATACATATATCTATGTCATATTCTAACAAATATGTTTTGGATGCATATTGGTATGTATTCAGGCTGTTAAATACAATTAGCCTCTGTTGCCACCTGCTGGTGAGTAAATATTAAAATGAGCTAAAGTTGATAACCGCTCCACAAATGTTTTTTAATGTATCTGCCGGTCCTTGGCACAATAAAGGTTGGGAACCCCTGCTTTAGCTCACCTGAGTCTCTCAGTCTGACAGGAGAGGACTCTCCTCCAGCTTGTTGTGGAACAAACAGCTCCTTTTGTCCGTTAGTGCAGCTAGCTAACCAGATGCTNTTTCCTGTCAGGCTTAAATATTGAAGCTAAATGCATCAATCTGGTGCACTCATATGGGTGTTGAGAGATGTATCCATAGATCTCTTCATTTTGCTCTCAAAGTGCACCAGATTGATGCATTTAGCTTCAATATTTAAGCCTGACAGGAAAAGTTTGAGAACCACTGCTCTAATGAGCTATATATTCAAGGCAGGACTTGTGAAAACAGAATGTCCTGCTTTTTACTCCATCTACATCTACAAGTCATAGTCAATAACTGCAGCACAGTTGCTGTGAACATGAAAAAATCTGCTAATAAAGTGAATTTGGGTTGTTTGTTTACGGGAAAGGACATTGCATATCGTTTTTTTTTAACGCAGAGGCTCTGTTAGTGCTGTTAGTGCTGTAGCTGTTCAATGGCCATACAAAAAATGATATATTTTTAACTGGAGAACAATAAAGTTTAATCTACCACAACATCTTGGAGATTTTCATCTGTGTCCAACCGGTGATGCAGCAGTTACAAGAGCAACCGCAACTTTCTTGAATTAGTCTTGGAACAGAGCGTGTTGTGACTTTGTTTCACTCATTTTAGTGAAAGCAAGTCATGACTCTCTGGTGATCACGGCAATTAGGCGATTAAGAAGCATCAAGAGATATGCTCTAATAGATGATTGTAACTGAGGGCCTATGTAATCTAGTTTTACTTCATTATTAACATACTCTAAAATATAGAATACAATGTAGACTTACTAAGACTGAACAAAAAATATTAGAGGCAGCCTACATGACTAGCAGAATGCTAATAAAGAATATGTAATGTGTTATCTCAATTAATCAAATCCTCTGGTGATCCTTCAACGTGCAGAGCTGAAATATTCATTAGTCAATTTTTACAAAGCACATTATTTTATTATTTGGAGTATGCACTGGACAGAGTGATATAGTAATATGCTCTTACAACCTTCACCCCAAGGTTGACTGCTAGCTTTTATGAATGGTGTGAATGATCAAATAAATCATTTATGGCACACTACACTCCACAACCATAGGAAAATGGTGTATTGCATGTATTTTGTTGTAATGCATTGCGTATGCCACCACTGACAACAAGCCCTACCACTGATTGAGTTTATAACTCACATTCTGTCTTGAAAAAAAGGGATGAATACGGTAACTCTCTGCTGGTAGAGAGAAAATAACTTTGACTCGTATGTAAATGCAAAGAAAATTGTTGTGTGTTCCTGCTTCTCAACTGTCGGTCATTAAACTTGCAGGAAAGTGTTTCCTGTTTTTCTTATTACCCGGCTTTCACTTGGAAAAATGTCAACATCATTGGAAATTTCCATTCAACTAATTGACCAGTTCCTACTTCTCCTGCATCGGCTCAAATCTGACAGAGGCTAAATAAGTTCGTGTGTAATGTCTTTCATGTAATGCATTAATAATCTATACCAAAAAAGACTTTTGAATTCAAACATTCATGTAATGACGGAATTATCCACAGGACAGATGTTTTTAACTTTCATCTCGTCCAAGTTACTCTGAAGCCCTTTAACGTATTACCCAATTACTTTCCTTCAACCGGAACTTCAAAAGCCTTGTAATACTTAATATATAATGATTCAGTGCTTTCTGAAGTGTGCTCCTTTGAACAGGGGGTACAGTACATCTCAAGGACATACTGCTTTCAATGAGAATCTATTGCTTGGTGCCTGTCTTATATCTCATGTGTTGAGTCAATAATACAGTTTGATTTGGTTTGTTATTTGCCCAACAATATCTTATCCTATCCCCATCAAGAAAAAGCTAGTTTCCCCAGATTATCCCAAAAAATTGAAAGCCAGATGACTCCTCCCAGGATGTGACAGAAGGTACATAATATCATTACAACTACCCTTGTGGGCGACTTTAATTTAGTGACTCAGGGCTTTGAGTAAACACTGAAAAGTGAATAGAATCGGGAGACAACTCAGAACAGAAACAGAGCCTTTCACTAGGTACTGACTCACACAAGGAGTCCCCCGTAGCCACCGCTTTTGTTAGAGGATCATGGTAATGGAATAAAAAGTCAGATTAGACCCTTCTTTCGAATTGTAAGTGCTTTTGCGACAAAGTATGCCCCTGTGTATTATGCCCATATCCCTGTGCTATTGCCTGTAAAAAGATTGGACCGCTCAAATAAATTCACCACTATTACACTGAATGTGGACATGTTCCTTACCAGACAGCCTCTGGGCCTGCCAATGTGTATGTATCCTACTGTAGATCAAAAGCAGTCCCAAAACATTTGCATGCCTATTTGAGTAGCTTTTATTCAAACTGAAAAGCCCAGCCCACCAACCCCCTTTAAATAATAATAAAAATACAGTACATATTTGTGATTCAATTGAATGTGATTTTTTACCCTGGCTTGGTCTTGGCCTGGTCTTGGCTGTGTTCCAAATCCCATCTGTTTTCTCTTTACTCTTAGTATATGGTGCAGCTTCCATTACAAAGTGCATTGCTTCTCCTTCAATTGTCTGTTTCATGTGTGACCAAATGGTTTATTCGTCTTTTCTCTACATTCCCTTATAAATGCATACACTACTATAGGTTTGTTCTTTATGTTATCCCCGACCAGACCTATATATGGAGTGTGGACTTCTACTTGGAGAGGTCCCAGTTCACCTCCTGCCCTGCCGTGGTTCCCTTGAGCAAGGCACCGGACATCCCCCTTCCCCCATTGCTCCCCGGGCGCTGTACAATAGCTGCCCACTGCTCCTAGTACTAGACTCCTGGTACTAGGATGGGTTAAATGCAGAGGACAAATTTCACTGTGTGTGCTGTGTGCTCTGCATGTGTGACCATTAAAGAGGGTTTCGTCCCTCCCAATTATATTCTATCAGTGCAGCTGGAAGTGGCTTTAATTAGTACATTAGCCATAAAAACTAAATCAATAGGCTGATAGATTCAAGAACGCTTTGAATAGGTTGTTAATTATTGGTTAGTTTGTCACTGTCCCCTTTCACCCTAATAGTAGTAATTCATATAAAATACGAGTACTAGCTGTTACTAAAATATTTATGCCTCTCATGAATTCTTTAACTCTACTGAAATAATAAGATGTGCTTATATTTATTTATTGAAGCACCAAGACAAAGATTGTGATTTTTTTTTTGCTCTACTACAACGGCAGGAAACAGATGGCAATTCAAGCTTATCTAATAAGTCAGTCTTCTTTTCACTGTCAAAGTCAATTCATATCTCATTAGCAGAAAATGCAGTCATAGCTAATCTAATCGTTAGGGAAACATGATGAAGAAAGATAAATGTCATGATGTGAAAAAACGACTTCCTTGTACTCTTTCGCAGTAATCGACAAAACTTAGATTTATTTTCAACTACGATTAGAAATGTTATAATCTTAACCTTTATTCTCATGTGTGTTCAAATGATTTAAAATGGCATTTCATACTGATTGATGTCTGTTTAATCTTTTCTTTTCTCAGATACCTTTTCTGATTACTGCAGAGAAATGGCTGCCTTTAACTGCTCTTTTGATGTAATGGCTGAAAAAGGCGGATGGCTTTGTCCTCTGGGGGAAAAGTGTATCAATCTGACCTCCGATGCAAACGGCAGCCATATTGAACTGGATGATGCCTGTCTGTCGGATGAAAGCTACCTGGAGAAGTATTTAGGGCCTCGTCGGTCATCTGTGTTCCTCCCTGTCTGCCTCACGTACCTGTTCATTTTCCTGGTAGGTGTCATGGGGAATGTGCTGACATGCACTGTCATCGCACGCAACAAAGTCATGTGGACGCCAACAAATTACTACCTGTTCAGCCTGGCAGTGTCCGACCTGCTTGTGCTGCTGCTCGGTATGCCATTAGAGCTGTATGAGCTGTGGCAGAACTACCCCTCCCTCCTGGGGAAGGGTGGCTGCTACTTTAAAACGTTCCTATTTGAGACTGTTTGCCTGGCATCTATCCTGAACGTAACAGCGCTGAGCGTAGAGCGTTACATCGCTGTGGTGCACCCACTACGGGCAAAATATGTTGTAACACGCACCCATGCAAAGAAGGTCATCCTTACGGTTTGGGGGGTGTCTGTGTTGTGTGCTTTACCAAACACAAGTCTACATGGGATCGACATCCTTCATACTCAATTCACCGGTCCAGCTGGGAACATAACAAGAGAGTTCCCCGACTCAGCAATGTGTACTCTAGTGAAACCGCCCTGGATGTACAACCTGACCATCCAGGTGACCACCTTCCTATTTTTCTTCCTGCCCATGGTCACTATCAGCGCTCTCTACACGCTCATTGGGCTGCAGCTTAAGCGGGAGAAGATGTGTCACACACTGGAGGCAAAGACAGGCTTTGGACAGGACAGCTTCTGTAACATCCGGACACAGCAGCAGAAGGCCCGTCGCCGGCAGGTCACTAAAATGTTGTGTGAGTATCAAAATGGTTTGTACCTTAATATTAACCAGAGTTATGTGCCTAGCTGACCTGTAAGCAGAAATATTTATGAAATACTAAGAGTCCTAATCGATAGAGTTTTTAGGCCGATGCTAGTCTGGCTCACTGGATGTACATTGTTGGAAAAAGTCGGCAATTGGCCATGTATCTCACAAGGCATTGTCCTCATTTTTCTTTATTTTTTAAACACAAACAAGCCAGAGGGATTTTTCCCAACACAAGAATGCTAATGGAGCCAGCCACTGCCAAACAAAACTAGGTGGAGACCAATAGTGAAGGGTTTTTAAAGATCAGGGGCTGCATTTACAAACAATCTTGAGAGATCTCCTAAAATAACCTTAACAATTCTACAAAAATCGACAGCTGTCAGCCAGACAAGATAGTCTCTGCATCGTTGACACACAGTCCCCAGAGGGACAATTTAATAGATAGCATGTTGGCTTCAATCAATGTAGCCTACTGCTATTGAAATCTCCCCTCCATGACTCCTATTGTGTCCTCCTCTCTTTCTGTCCTTTCAGTTGTTTTGGTGGTGGTTTTCGGGATCTGCTGGGCCCCGTTTCACACTGACCGTCTCATGTGGAGTTTCATCGATAACTGGACTGACAACCACCTGCACATCTTTCAGTACGTACACATCATCTCCGGAGTGTTTTTCTACCTCAGTTCGGCCGTCAACCCTATCCTGTACAACCTCATGTCCACACGTTTTAGAGAAATGTTCAAAGAGGTCATGTGTCATCGGCCCCACGACATAATTCCCAGAAAACACTCACTCAGTGTCACCCGTATGACGCTCCGCAGCACCCTAAGTGACGCTCCGCTGAGCAGTGGAGCTGCTGTCGTTGAAGCCGTGGCAGAAGATGGAGAAGTGAGGATAAAAGGTGAAACTTCTTTTTCGTGTTAAAAACAACACAAGGGGGTGTGAATGGGGATGAATTGTTGTGGATGGCATGCTATTTTGTTCTGACCCACTGCATCCATCTGTCATCCACTTTGAGGTGCATTAGCTACCAATTAGAAAAAACACAGTCTGAGTGGAAAAACAGAAAAGCCGGAGCCGTCAGGCTGCAGTGTTAGGACCCGATCATTTTGCAAAAGGTTATGCTTTCTGCACTTTATTTTGTCTTGTTGTTGTGTTGCAACCACAACATCACCTTACCTAACCTTTATTTTTGCTAAACTCACAGACGCTCAGTGATGCAGAAACAGAAAGCTTAAAGCCTCACTCTAGTTGAAAACAATATCAGAGGTTGCGAGCTGATTAAAAGTGCTCTGTCTCATTGAGGCCTAAATGAACTATTCTCCTTTGAAAACTTTAAAAGCAGATTACTACTATTTTAAAAATGCCTGGGCAGGCATTAGATCAATACTCAAGCTCTCTGGAATAATACAGGATAGCATATTATAGACAGGAAGGAGAGACTCGTCACAACTGGTATTTGAGCAAATTATCCTTTGAGAGAGAGAGAGAGAGTGAGGAGCACTGGAAAATAATTGCTTGTTGACCGGCATGAAGAAAGGCTGCTCTGATGTAAACAGATGCAATATTGTGGCACTTTGCAGGGCTTATGATTTAGCCTGAACCTGATCCCTTTCCTTCTACACCCTGAACACTCATGCCTGCAACACACATGGCGGCCATGCCAACACATGTGTAGGTATCGTGCCACATGTGTCTGTTGCAGCCACTTTAAGCTATGAATCAGAAAGATGGATACAGCTATGAATGTAAATACAGGTCCTGTATGTTATCAAACTATTAAGTGCTGCTTTTAAGGATCTTCTGTTCTATATGTTATTACAAACATTTGAAAAGTTGAGAAGTATCGGGTGGAAAAATGAATCCAAAAGTTGTTCCATGCCAAAAATAAATGTTATGGACTTGTTTTAAAAAATAGTACAGGAATGTGAATACAATGGTGCAAAACTTAATTTCTTTATTATACTGTTACTGTTATTGTGATTTAATGTGTGAGCCGAAATGTGCTAAAGTGTAATATCAAAGTGTTTGGGCATTAAGAATATATAATGTGTGCTATGTTCAGATTACAAAATGTGTGTCAGCCCAGTGCACTGTTTGAATATGTGTTTGTGTCAAATAAATATCTTCTATACATTTCGTAATGCTTTTTATTGTCCATCACAAAGGAAAATAATACATTTTTCAATTATTTTCTTCCATTGTTTTTTATCACTTTAAACTTTGAAATATTCTTGTTTCCTAACTAAAGTAATGTTCATACTTGCGTACTTATAATGAGAAGAGTTTCATAGGATGCAGGAAATGCTGCCTTTTTAAATGATACATTATTATTATTTGTTAAAGGCACACCAGTATGAAAACCTTTCTAAAGCTATGCTTACATTAAGCACCAGAATATTTGCAAAAGATAATCTTAATTAAACAATATTCTTGCACTGTTCCACAGAGGACATTTATGAGGGCATTACATGTTTCATTAAACACAGCAATTAAAGAAAAAGCTATAATGAGAAGAAACCAGTAAAAAAAAAATTTGATTAATACTATAGCGTTATACTGTTGATCTCACCCTTTACCATAAGCTTGCAAAGACAAAGTGAAACCCTAAACTACACCTGCACTGGTGCACGTGTCCTCCTACATTGCTATTGCACATGTCATTAACCCCCTCACACACACATGGCACAAATATCCATGTTAAAGTCACTGATTGTCTTCTTTTCCTTCCAAGGTGAATAATAAGGACAATTGACTGGAAGTGGTAGCGTTGTGTTATTTCCTCGAGGTTTCAAATGACACCTTTTGTCCTTGTGAGAGATTCAGCACCCTCTCAATCAAAAAAAGAATATAAAATTCCAGAGTTGTAAGAGCTTGAATTCTAATCAGATATAAAAGATCAAACTAAACACTATGACTGCACAATGAACATTACGTCAGCATTATCAGACCACATTACCATCTACCTCTTAACATTAGAATGGACTTCATCTATTGCCTTAAATCGCAAATGTGATAGTTCAATTCAACGAAATACAGATAATTGCTTTCTGGCGGAGAGTAAAAAAATAAAATCTCGCTCGTTTGTAGATTCTTTATAAGGCAGACAGTTAACAAAGCGTTGAATAGAGAGTGGAAGCTGTTCAAAAAACAAATTACATTATCCCAACACGGTTTAACAGATTTGTTACACAAGTTTATATGATAACAAACATTTCTGTCAAATATCTTAAACCTTTTGAAATAAAAACCCAAGCCAAAGAATTGTGCAAGAAGAAAGTTCAAACTTTAGAGTAGGTGCCAAGAAAATCTGGCTTTGCTAATGTCTCTGGGAGCAATATTGGATACCACTGAAACACTCCTCTTGTAAATAACAGCCAGTGATAATCTCATAGCCATCTTGCCATGGGGGTTAAGGTGAAGATTGGAAAATAAAGCCTCATTAATGCTCAGACACAACTCTTAACAGAGAGCATGAGTAGATTGTGGATGCAGACACACAGCCTTCACCTCAACCCATCTGAAAGGTGCAAACTTAACTGGAAAAACTCTGTGGCGATGTCTTATTTTGTCACATCAGAGAATATGAACCTCAGTCCTTAAATGAAAACAAGGTGGAAAATACGTTGACAGATTTTCCTTTCATCATCACACTCTTAACTTCATTTGACCCGAGAGAACTCTTGTTCTGGAGCTCACCATCTATGACGACTAAGTGCTTAACTACATCGACTTTTGAGATTAACGTTATTTTGGCAACCAATCCTGAAAAGGAGAAAGGTAATTCAGTTCAGCAAGCTCAAACGCAATGATGCTTCGTATGGTGACTCATTAATTAGTTGAAAAGCACTGTGTAGAAACGAAAGAAAGGCGATCTATTTATTGATGGGGGACAGTGGCGACACTGAATCAAAACCCTCCTATTCAGAGCATGTGCACATTCATTTGGGAATATGGAGTGCCTACCAACTCACAATCTATGACATAGGAACCAAGACATTTTTTGTAGCCTGCCTTGGTCAGAAACCATTGGATTTAACATATTATTAAGCATCTGTCAATATACTTACCATCAGTTCCTAATAGCCATGCCTGGAAATGATGCTAATCACTGACTGCTATGCATTCACTCAAATTCTACAGTCCGGTAATTAGAGCTGTTTTATAAATAAATACTTAGAGGTTAGATTGCACTGTTCTGAGTAATGAGAAAGGAGACAGACGTATACATTTTTATTCTAATTACATATTGCCTATTTAAATTAGTCCTTTGACAAAACATGACATGAAGCCGATATTTTAAGGTTTGCACTGATGATTGGTGGACTCACATTCAACATCCGGTATTAATTAAATATGCTTTGTCAATTTCAGGTTCATTTTACTCATCCTAACGGTGTCCTTTTAGTGTGCAGCTAAAATTCCAGATAATAAAAGCTATTTTTCGGGTTTATTTGGTCCACACACAATATTAGGATGTATGGCGAGAAATAAGAGGCTAATTGAAAGTGCTGTTGGTATCTTCATGATGCAGCAATTTCTTTGCAATTAAATGTCTAATGAACCTATTAGACTACAATTGTAATGGACTATTTTGATCAGAATGTTATATTTTCTGGCATAAAACAAATGTTTATTGAGTTTAGGAGTGTAAAATTCAGACACTAGGTATTGCTGATTAGCTCCATCAGTGAAGGCCACCTCCCATTCGTTAATGTTTCTCTTTCCACTTCCCCCTAAAGTATTAATCTATGGCTATAAGACCCTGAACTCCATGTCAGTTGTATGCACTTTTTATGTACTAAGTTTATTCAAAACCTAAATGGAAGGTGAAAGATTATATTCTGATCAAGCGTTGGAATTGTGTTATTAATACTGTTTTTCATCAATATATTATAGGTCTCAGATATATACAAAACATGTCTCTGAAGTGTTTGGCTCGAAACACCAAACAGATCATGCATTGCAGCATCCCATAATCCCCTCTGTTTCAGCCCTGTTTCAAAAGTGCTGATTCTGGGTCTTTTACTTTAGATGAAAATAAGGAGCCCCTCCCCACGGCCCTCTGAGAGATATCTGGTTAAAAAGAACACAATGGTGCTCTAGGAGGAGATTCAGGTGATAAGGTGGGGGGGTTACCTTGGTTGCTGATTGGCTAATGGTTACACAAGCCAACAAAATCGTGATGACATCATAAAGTGGCCAAAATCTGATCAGCTCATTTTCAGACAGGTTTTTATATAAATGGATCAGGACGAAAAGAGAGAGAATATTTTCTCCTGAAACTTTCAGAATCTCTTTACACAGAGGGGACACATGTTTATGTATAAAAGACATGAAAAAGTGGGATTTTGCATAATACGTCACCCACATTAACTGCATATGTTTTGTTGTTGATGCATAGTAGCAGATACCAGCTTACTTAAAGTACCACATTTGCCAAAGATCCAGATTGATAATTTCAAGGTCAATGAAGCCTTATTAAGTATCAGCATAAAGACACATTTTATATAACAAACTGATCTGATTTATATTGTAACGAGACCAAAGCTAGCCCTTTTTTTCTGCTGCTGTCTTCTTTGTTGAATAGCCCTTGTTATTGCACATTTTCAAAAGGAGTGGCGTCAATGGGAGAAAAACATCCAACAGGAAACTTTGCATCCGACCCAGAAGATCCATGTTCATGAATGAAAAAACAACTGCCTGTGAATCTTGATACTCATGGAAATATGGAAATAAATGTGTAACACACACACACACACACACACACACACACACACACACACACACACACACACACACACACACACACACACACACACACACACACACACACACACACACACACACACACACACACACACAACGTTTAGTAGCAAATTATTTAAGCTTTTATTTATGTACACAAGACCACATTCCTACAAACATATACTATAAACTTCATCCATAAAACCAACTCTAAAACAGAAAAACACATTAACAGCGTGCATAAACTGAATATTACTTCAGCAGGCTGTTTCTTTGACAAAGTAAACAATTACTACAGTCCCACATGGCCTGATGAAAGTCCATTTAAATGTAGGAAAAAAAGAAAAACGTCTTTCATGTCACACTCATGTTCAATATGAGTCCATTTAAAGAGGAATCTCTGAAGACTTCCAAGAGTGTTTTGTAATGAGCCTCTGCAATAGGGGGGTTTGTTTTTGTAAGTGATAAAAGGTCAAATAAGAACATTAA